CGTCCTTACCTTTTGGATTTTTTTAAGTACTTACCTGAGGAAAATAGATTCCTAACATTTTTAAAAACATCTTTGTAGTTATTTTACTGGTAAAATGTCGAATTTTGTGGAATGAAAACATTACTATATATCCAGAAATATTTTTAGATTACATTTGCATTGGAAGCCTCAGGATAACAGATGGAAATACATACAACTTTAAATCTTTACACTTCTACTTCTGAAGCAGTTCTGAAGCACATATACTTGCTTCTGTTAAGCATCATTTTTTTTACATTATGTTTTTTAGTGTGTTTTGAAATTTTAAAAAGTTGAGTATTTCACCTAGAATCCTACTTTCCATGTAAAATCTTTGTATCTGGGGAGCTAGTTCCACCAGGAACTAGACACAAAGTCACAACAGTTGCCTGGAACAGTTGCCCCCTGGAACACAATTACCTAAACAAGTACTCTGAAAACCTGTAAGACAGTCTCATATTAGCCATTAGCTTTTCAGGAAAGTCTTCTCCTGTGCTGCTTCTGAGGTGGGCAACAGACTCGTTTTTGCCCAAGGAATGGCTTCTGAACGTTGTATTCCAAGACAAAAAAAGAAGATACAATTCTACTGAAATCCATTAGAAATTTGATTTCCCTTTTTCTTCCTTTGGAAAAGAACTTGCAAATTTGTTAGAGATCAAAGTATACCACCATGATTTTCAGAAAGTTCTTTCTCAAATAGAGTTGTTTTTTTTGTCTTTATAGATTGGGTAGCAATAGTTAGTCTTTGTAATTTGTTTATTGCTTCTGGATTGTTTATTAGTTCTGGATATATAAACAGCAAAAGCATGCCAGGATGAAGACAGAATATTCCCTTCCTTTTGCTCCAATTCTATTTGTTTTTTGTGAATGTGGACTGCACATCTCAGCATACGCAAATTAAAAAAGAATTGGTGTTTTTGTATAGCGGTTTGCATATATGTGTAATAGAGGGAGAAGAAGGAAGAAATTTTTTTTTTTCATGACAGCAGTCTTTTGGAAAATGTTTTAATAATATCCAAGAATAATCTATTTATCTGAAATAAAATTCAAAATATGATTAGTCTGTGTAGTCTACTAATTTCTGGGCACATGACAAAAGCTATTATAAAGGTCCAAAATTTCAGGGACTACTTAATAGCTTGTTTTGAAAGAGAACAATAATTAATATAATGCTTAATTTTAAATAAATAAATTCTTCTCAGTTCTGAAGCCATACAGACACACAATCCATTATCATGAGTTAACTTACAATGTATGAAATAATAGATTATGCTTGACTATGGTATGGTGAACAGTCTCAGCTGGATTTCCACACCTTTGAAATTTCCTTCTGGTAGCTGCTTTCCAGAACCCCCAGTTGACAGTACCAGCCTCTTACCCAGAATCTTACATGTTAGGCAAATCTTTTGTGAAATAATTGTTTAGAGTACCATTTCCTTTTAAAAATATAGCTGGATCTGACATCATTTTGAAATATTTTGTGTTCTCTTCTCCTTTTTTCCTTTTTTTTTTACAATTTTACATGAGATTTTTATTTTGGGACATAAATACAATAAATACATAAATACATTTTGGAATATTACTTTCTTTGAACTCTAAATAGATGTGCATGCCCAACATGAGATCACTGTTGATAATGAATCAATTAAAAAATTGACTCATATCTCATTTATAGTAATGACACATATCTTGCTCTGGAAAACTGGGTAAAAGACTTTTACTGTAATGTTAAATTGATTCAAGGATGCCACTTATCTTCAGTCTTTCCTTTACAAAGGATGCAACTTATCTTCAGTCTTTCATTTACAGCTCTATCGCTTATTCAAAATACAAAACTTTGTGATACACCTGCCAAAAATTCTGCTTTTACAAATCACCTATCGTTTTGTCTGTTTTGAAGTTACTCACTTATCTTGCCTAAATCTCCATTTTTATTTTGAAAGGATCCAGCACACTCAGCTTCTAAATGCTGAAGTCATCAAAATGCCTCTTCAGTATTCTAAAAGGAATAACCAATATATTGAGCACTGCTGAGGCCAGTCATCTTTGAGTTTGATCGAGTTTGATCAAACTAAATCAGAGGGTGTAAAACAAAAACTGAAAATATCTCTTATTGGTAAGAGTACTTATTTTCTTGCATTCAGACATTTGCATAGTTTTCAAGGACATTGTTTTTTGCACTTGGCATGTCAAAGATAAACAGCAGAGGATAAGTTCCCAGAAAACATAACACAGTTCTTTACAGCTGCGACACATAAATGCTTGTGCACTGCCTATCTAGTTAACGAGTTTACTGCCTCTTGAATATCAGATATTGAAAGCTGCACTGTGGCTATACACTACCCTTGGTCCCTTTGTGCAAATTCCCTTAATAATGAACTTCTCTGAGTTTCAGTTAACAAGCATACTTGCCAAGTACTGTAAATCAACACAGGCATGGGAAGTTGCACCTCAGCTGAAATGTGCACTTTATTAGTAGGTTACAGTTAGGTGCTTCTGAGACTACCCTGAGACCCTGCTATGATTTGGAGATATGAAATATTTCATTTACACTATAACATGGCATGGCTAGTTACTGGTAGCTGTTTCTTACCCTCTTGCAGAAGGATCCCCGGTATTGAATATGGCATACTCGCTAGAGCTATAATTTTTCTATATTTTCCAATTTGTAAAATATAATCCAATCTGGTGATTGCTGTTCCTGTTCTTTTTTTAATGTGTGAGCAATGCTACAAAGTAATGAAAGAGATCTTAATTTTTTTCTCCAATGAAAGAAGGAAATGCTTTGAACTGTAATGGTTTTGGTAAAGAGATGTACTTGTTTTCTGATAAAAAAAAAGATATCTTGAAACACTTGTAAAGGAATGTCTAATATTTTCCTTATCAGCTCCTCCCCCTCATGTCTTCTCCCTCTCCAGAGACGTGTATATAATAGGATATTGCATTGTGCAAAAGAAAAGTTATTTAAGGTGTATTTGAAATGTGGTATTTTTTCTTATAAAGTCAAGTTCTTCAGTTACAAAAAATTAGATGCTTTTTATTAATTTGATTGCACCTGATTAACAGAAAATATCTTGAAGGATATGAATTTAAAAAAATCCGTTATTGTTGCATCTAGACAGTAATATGACAATAGGAATGAGAGTACGTTTCTTCTTTAATGGAATAGAGAATGAGAGTTTAGTGGATGGATTATTTATGCAATTTTTCTTAACATCTTGGATTTCTTGTTATGATTATGAATGCAAGTTTTTTGCACTATACCACTGAGGTATTGATATTGATTGCAAAATTAATTTTACTGTTAATAACTAAAATACACTTTCAAGTTCAATTTAGTACTAATATCACTTCCCAGAAACTCCCCTGTTTTATTGTGGAGCCTTTTTCCTCTTCTGATGTAATTGCACATATAGTTCCACATAATTTAAATGTGGGCCAGAAATGAAAAAGCTTAAAAAAAATAGTGAATTAAATATTTATCAGCCTTAAATCTGGTTATGGGTCTCAGTTTAAACTCCTGTGCCCTGGCTGGAACAACACACGCTAGCAAAAATGTTCTTTTTTATATTAAAAAAGATGAATGTGAGATGTTGTGTGTCGAGGGGCAGCAAGGGCAAAGGGAGGCAACGGGCGTGTGGGAGCCGGGGGGCTGCC